AGGAAGGTTTAGGGCTTGTTCTCTGGTTGTCAGCTGCACTTCTAGCCCAGGGTCACTTGTGGTCTGTCTCATACTTTCATTAGTTATGCTCATGTTTGGGAATCTGTATCTCTGATGGAAAATAAATGACCTGTAAACTTCAACATAACTTTGTGGAAGTACCAGGGTGTATTATAGTCAGAACTATTTAAACTAAGAACCCCTGGAACACAAATGCACACAGACTCTCAATTTATGAATTTGCACATTATTTCTCCTCGCTCAGGACATTCACCTCTACTTTGACTTTTCCCATGCCATGTGTGTGTCCCCCTCCTTGACAGGGGCCCCTGGGTGATGGTGAGTAGAGGCAATCCTGAAGGTCACAATGAGCTCAAACTCAAGAGGTAGGGTAAGACTGCCCACAGCCCAGGTAGCATTTCTTCATGTCAACAGTGGAGTCATTGAATAAGATGGAAAATAGAGAAGCCATGAAAACGGGCACCATCTAATCTCACCAGGAGGTTTCCATTGGAGGGCATGGGCCTCCCTTCTCCCTGTCCTTTTCCCTCTCATCTAGCTCCAGCTACCTACTACCCTTCCTCTTCTCATTCCACCTTCTGACCTACAAGACGGGAGGCAGCTCTTCAGGTTCAGGGAGGAGAAGCTGCTCCTGGCCAGACCCAGCTGTGCCATCTCCTGCTCCGTTCAGATGCTTCTAAGCAGGACCATGGCCGACTCCAGTGTCTGCTGCCCGTGACCTTCTCCGGAAGCTGAATGTGCAGCACTCTGAAAACCAGCACGCTCCAAACTGTGAATGTGACCCAGACAGGCCACCTGGAGCACCTGTCCCCTCTCAGGATAAGAAACACGTGCATGTAAATTCAAAAGTAACCTTTAACAACGCTGCAATGAAAGCCAAGTCTTTGGGAGGGATTTTAAGCGACATAAAAGAAGCTGTTACAGAAACCAGTCCCAAGCTCACTTATTTTAGCCCTTCAACTCAGGACCGTGGGTGAATCATGAGACTTGGAGGTGGCATGCTGCCTTCCTTTGCAAAAAGGCAATGGACTCACAGCAGCCGGTTTCTTTTTTTAGACCTGCTAACTCTTTTGCTTGAGAAGTAGGATTCAATTTGAAATTTAAAAGTTTTCAGGTCCACCCTTAGAAGTAATATCTTTAAATACAAATTACCATGGCAAATTGTTTCATAAAGAAAGTGGACTTTCAAAAATGTTTAAAAGGAAACAACCCCCCCACACACACATTTAAATGAAGTATTTATTATTTAAACTAAGGGTGTTACTTATAAAATAGTTCGACAATTCTGTGTGCTGTTCTCTAAATGTACACTGACCGAAAGGACAAGAACACAATTATGCTTATTTTTAATTTATATTTATTTTTGATGGTAGGTGCCTTCACCCTGGGGATGTTGAGTGGAGGCCAATCCTGAAGGTCATGTTGAGCTCAAACTCAAGGAGTGCTGATATTAATAGATCCATGAAAGGAGAAAAATTGAAGAAAGGTCATTAATAAAAGTAAGGGTCACTTGATTCAAATTAATATTAGACAGTTTACAACATTTATAGCTAGTGTTTTAAGTCCGTATGAGCAATTTCTAAGTACCTGCATTAGCTATTCTTTTTAAACTTTACAGAAAATTTAATACGATACCTAGTGCTTAATATAAAACTATTAAAAAATAGCCTTAAGAAGTTCTTCAAATTTAATAAGAATACTATGGTCCTATTGTAGGACCTCTTCCAGAGTCTAGAACTATGGATCATCCTAGGAACTATACAAATGTATCCAAGTCAACAGAACAGTTAGAGTCACAAACCATACATCACGGGGAGGCGGTCATGGATATGATCACTGGTCATTGTTTTAAGGCTTCATCAATGTGTGCAGCAGAGGAACACATTAGGATCTTCGTTAGTGCACACAGAGAAAAGTTCAGATACTTTCTGATGTGATTCATCCAGTTCTTCCCAAAGCTGCATAGTATGCCTCAGTCACTTTCATCAAAAGTTTAATCAGTCATATTTTCAACCAATGGTACAGAGACTCCTACATCACGGATTTCAATTGTTTTTCAAAATCACCTTTAATTACAACATTTGAAGACTTCATCTCTCCATGAAGCAGTTTTTTTTTTTCTCAGTGCAGACACTTTAGCCCTCTCCTCTTGCCATGTTCAAAGCAACTTTTAAAATGAGAGCTGCTGAGAGAGCATCTCGGCCGTCTTTATTGCACTCTCCTGTGAAATCATTTAGAGACTTTTCACCTGCATACTCCACAGCAAGACACAGTCTGCCATCGCTGGCTTCAGGAAAAGCACGATCACCGACGATGTTTGGATGAGGAAAGCTTTTCAAAATCTTAGCCTCCTCAGTTAGTCTCTTTGATATATACTCTGATAATCATCATTACACATGGGATCATTCCTTTTCATAGCCCGAGCAGAATGGGACCAACCTCTGGGAGATCAGATTTCATTTTTAAAGATAACATTGACTCGGGCATCTTGAAATGATCAATTCCTTCCCTTGTAACAACCACTCTAGGTCATGTCCTTCTCAGACATTATTACCCTATGTGCATATATAACTATGTGACCGGTGAGATTCTACGTCAGGTACAACCACAAGGATGAGAAATTACACTCCATTTTGTATGATGTATCAAAGTGCATTCTACTGTCATTTATAACTGATTAAAACAAATAAAAAAATACAGTTATATTAATAAGGTGGTTTTTATTAGAGGCATATTTTCTTCCAAGGAGTTTGGAAGAGACTACATTTGGAAACAAGTTGTAGGTGTCATTTCCCCCCTTTGCCTATGGATAGGTAAAGAGATTGGATGAATCTTGGACCCTCAGTGATGTCCGATGTTTGGACTGACTTGGGGTGAGGGGTGCAGCTCCACATGCACTTTCAATGACCTTCGGAACAAAGGAAAGACATTTCCATTTGTTCATTTCCTGCTGACAGCCACATGCCCTAGTTTCACATTCAGAAGCTTGAGAAAACCCAGTAGCACTTCTTATCATTCTGACCCTTTAATCCCCTGAGTGATTCTTAGCCACTTATGTTTCCTTACGTAGCCTTTGCTGTGATTGTCTTAACAACTCTGAAGTTCAAACAATCCCAGGGATGTGAAAACAAAAACAAAAACAAAAATCCCAACCCTCCCTTGAAATGAATTCCTCCCTAAGTGTTTGGGTATAGTTCTTCTGGAGGCTTCTGCAAAAAGTATCCAGCACCCCCCACACTTGGCCTGAAACATGGAGGTTAGTAAATTGTTCTTTTGTGGCTTCTGAAACCCAGGGCAACTTGTGTCCAAATGTATGTGTTACTTCCCCCTTTGCATATTGATAGGTAAATCCAGAGAGCTCACTCTTCTGAGCAGACAGAATCTTGGGCAAGAGAGCTTCCCCTCACCTCTCTGGGCCTTCTTGTGTAAGATTATAACACTCTGGATTTTTTGTTTGTTTGTTTGCTGTTTTTGGGGTGTTGTGGAAGGAACCTGGGGCTTCATGCCTGCCAGGCAAGGGCTCAACCACTGACCTACGTGAGCAATCCTCACCTAGAACTCCCGTGTGGTCCACAATGCGTTTGTAGACCTCGGCTCAGGTATTCACAAATCTAGTGTTTCTGAGCCTCGTGGAAGGACCCCATGATCCCAGCTGGGACGAGGAGGACAGCTCTGCAGACAGGAGCCTTCAGTGAAGACAGCCTGGAGCCCCTCTGGGGAAGGCGAGATTCAACTCAGAAAACGGGACTCATCCTCCGATGCCCAAGCCCCTTCCTCTTTACCTAACCCTTCTCCCTTCGTTTTTGATGTCTCTTCAAGGCCTTCTCTGATGGGCTTGAAGCCTCAGGGTCCTCCCCGACTCCTCTTTGCCATCCCACCTCCAATTCAAGATTCATACTTGTTCTGCTAACTTTATACCCTAAATGCCGCACTAACCTTCTCTCCCCCCGTGGGGGCGGGGCCTGATCCTTGGTGGAAGCCATTCCCCTCCCATCTTACTGCTGTTGGTCTTCAGGCCCTAAATGCTCACCTTTCCAGGCCATCCATGGCCATGAAATAAGTCTTCTGCCTCAAGACAGGCGGGGGAGCTCTGCTCTGCTCACGACTCTGATAGAGCAGTGGTGTCAAGCTCCCTGTGATCCGACTCTGTCCTTCCTCCCCAGGGTCTCTCCCAACCAACCCAGTGTCTTCGTATAGCCAAGCTTTACACACACAGTCCTGCAGCCTGGAGCACAAGCTTTGCACACATAGTTCTGCAGCCTGGAGCACAAGCTTTGCACACACAGTTCTGCAGCCTGGAGCACAGGTTTCAGCCTCTCCACCGACTGAGGATCCAACTCAAATTCCTTCTCATGAAGAAGCGTTCTCATGCCAGTCATGGTGGTGCACGCCTTTCATCCCAGTGGCGTAGAAGGCTGAAGCAGGAGGATGGCAAGTTCAAAGCCAGCCTCAGCAAAAGTGAGGCGCTAAGCAACTCAGTGAGACCCTGAATCTAAATGAGATACAAAAATAGAGCTGGCAATGTGGCTCAGTGGTCGAGTGCCCCTGGGTTTAATCCCCAGTACCCCTCCCCTAACCCCCCCCAAATAAAAAAGAAGCATTATCAGCTGTTCTAGACCACGGGGTGCTCACCTGATCCTGAAAGTCTATGAAACTTTCTAGAGAAATCACACAAGGAAGATACCATTTCTTAACTGATCACATTTTTATCTTTCCTTCTCATCACCAAAGATCTATTTTCAACACATTTACAATCTGTATGTTGCCTGGCACAAGCTAGGAACCTGAACAAAATGCATCTTGATTTTTTTTTTTCCAGATACACTGAAGAATCAGCAGTTCTCTGAGGATTTTGCTTTTATATAGGCAACTTTTTCAGTGAAAGGAGAGTTTGCCAATAACCTAATAAAAGTGGTGGGGAGATGAGAAGGTTGCTATTTCATCGACATATCTGGATTCAGCTTAGAAAGCTGATGGGCTTAAAAGATCCAATCTACTTAAAAGAGATGTCCAATAGGGGGCGAATCTTGGACTCTCTGAGACAGTAACTTCTTTTTTTTTTTAAAAGAATCACTCCCACCCCCCAGGCTGTATGAAAACTGAGTCACAGACACAATGCAGTCCAGGCCTTAGGCCAGCTTGAGTCCAGCTCATAAGCCAACTGAGATATCCTGCTCCCCAGTAGATCGGGTATAAACTGAGCTTACGCGCTCAGGGACTTCCTTTTGGAAGTTGGGACAGAGTTTGCAAAAGTGCTTGGCGATGTGTTTCTGGAAGAACACCGAGAGATACCTTCTGAACTTCTCCCCGACGAAGGCGTAGATGACAGGGTTGATGCAACAGTGCGTCATCCCGAGAGTCTCGGTCACCTGCATGGCTTGGTCCAGTCTGTTAGAACTATCACAGTTATTCAGGCCAAAGAATTCCTGGAAGGTGGTCAGGAGGAGGACGATGTTGTAGGGAGCCCAGAAAAGAAAGTAGACGATCATGATGGTGAAGATGAGCCTCACAGCCTTGTGTCTCTTCTCGCTCCGACACCGAAGCAGGGTTCTCAGGATCCCCGAGTAGCAGATGACCATGACGAGCAGGGGCAGCACCAGGCCTAAGGTGACCATCTTTAATGTCTGGAATTTCTTCCAGAAATGATATTGACTGGCTGGGAAATGAAGGCTGCAGGTATGACGGGAAGCTTCTTTTTGAGATTTGGTAAAGATCACTCCCGGGAGAGAGGCCAGCACGGCCGCTACCCAGGTGATCCCACTTGTCACCAACCCGAAGGTGACTGTCCTGGCCTTGAGAGCAAACACAGCGTGGACGATGGCCAGGTATCTGTCTATTGTCAGAAGGATGATGAAGAAGATTCCAGAGAAGAAGCCTATGTAATAGACCGCTGTCAAAATCTGACACATTGCATTTCCAAAGTCCCACTGGGCGGCGGCATAGTGAGCCCAGAACGGGAGGGTGAGAAGGAAAAGCAGGTCGGAGATGGCCAAGTTGAGCAGGTAGATGTCAGTCATGCTCTTCAGCCTTTTGCAGTTGATCAGGATGAGAACTACCAGCAGGTTGCCCACGACACCAAAGATGAACACCAGAGAGTAGAGCGGGGGCAGGAGCCTGGCTGCGATTTGCCTCACGTCAATTTTAACGCAGGGTTCTGACGTCTCGTAATCGATGTAAGAGCTGGGGCTTGACACTTGATAATCCATCTTGTTTGATCCTGTGAATAGACAGAAAGTGATACTTCATGAAGCTGAGTGTAGTGAGTGGGCTGTTCTGAGTGCACACTCTCTTATCCTTGAACAGGTCTTTCCTTGGATGCATAGATTTCTACATTTAATGGAACTTCCTTCTTGTTTCCAAACAATCCACTTTTCTGGGAAGGTGAGTTTTGCTGCTATCCTCCCTACTCACCAGGTGGAGCTAAAATTCACAAAAGCACCATCTCATCAAGGAAAAGTTTGCTTTCTATGGCAATGTGTGGTGAATGTAGCGAGGATAGCAATTTTGAGAAACGGAATCAGGCACAGTGTAACTCACTGTTTTATAATCTATATGGAACTGGCTGCTCCCCAGTTATTTAACTCACGGAAAACACACACCACCAGTGAGCCAGTAAGGATCACCAGGTCCCCAGGTATATACTTGAGGCCAATCACCATGCTGAGCTTCATACCCAGTTGTTCATTTAATCCTCTGGGCAACATTATGAGGCAGGTAATATTGTTCGCATTTTGCACACAGGACCCCCCCAAGCACAGGAAGAATGAGTAACTTGCCCAAAGCCACACAGCAAGGAAGAAACTGCACTGCAACCACTATGTCACCCAACCACCATGCTACCTACCTTCTTGGCAAAAGAATCAAAGAACCGGACCCTCCACTGGTGACCCATTGTCAGAGTGGAATGGGTTGATGCCCAAGTTCCCAAGAAGGTGACAGAAGCCAACACCAGTCATCAAACCAAGCTGCCATCCTAACATTTTCCTCTGGAGTTTGTGTTGGTTAGTTTCTGAGTTGTCACATCTAAGAGCTGTCATACCAACACCAAGAAATGACCCGAAAGAAAACACTTCATCTACTTCCAAAGGTTGGATGTCCTCGGTTTGAGGCAGTTTGGCTTTACAACCAGCTGGCTTGGCCAGTGTGTTCAAATTCCACCCCTTGAGCTGAAAATCCTCTCTAATTAATCCTGGTTCCTCATGAACTAACTCCCTGGACCCCACATGAGGTGGTTTAAGGAAACACCCAGAGAAATCTCATTTTAACTCTGAGCCGGAAAAGGAATCGTATCCTAAATGAAACTGATCCACTAGAAGGAAACTTTATTTGATGTTTGTCATTTGATATTAAATTGGACAATTTTTGAGGCTTCCCTTTTTGGGGGAGGTGGGGTGGGGTAGTACGGGATTTAGCTTCGGTGGGGGGGGGCGGCACATGCTCAATGGCATCCACAGGAGTAGTTTCAGTTCTCCTTAACTCAGGAGAGTCCCTGCTGAGATTTCAACAGATTCCTGTCTCTGGAAGTCTTTCTTTTTCAGAGGTGAGGATTTACTGGTTTTAAAAGTAATATTACTCCCTCTTCAGTCTTTCACTCATAATCATGTTTTTGAATCTTTGATGCTATCTTACTCTGGCCCTTGTCCTACATCCCAATTCTTTCCTTCTATTAAAGATCATATTTTAAGATAGTTCTCTGGGCACCTGGTGCTGCCAGATGTCTTCTCTGCGTTTCCTGTCAAGGTTTTACTCATCACAGAAGCTGAGCAAAGAGACCAAGAGGCTGAGAGATGACTTACCAGAGTTTCTTGTAGGGGGAAGCGGATGTCTCAGCTCCTCTGGCTAACTGAGCTGTGCAAATTGAGTATACAGCCAGTTTAGAAGTAGGAAATGCACAGTTTCTCTTAAAGGGGGGCGGAGATTAATGAATAAGTGTATTGCAGGGGAAAAGAAGCAGAGAACAGTTCTTCTTCTTCTTTTTTTTTTTTTCCTTCTAAGTTTCATTTAAAATAGACTACAGAAAAGAGCTCTGGCTTTATTTATTTGCCAGCTTCTCCCATTCCATGATTTATTTCACTTTTGTTCTCTGCTCATCCCACTACACAGAGTCGGTTAGGAACCAGAAAGAATTAGGGATATTAGAGCTAGAGGTAGACATAGCCATCTAATCAAAAGCCCATGGTTTGAATAAAAGGAATCAGTGTTCAAGAAGCAAATGATTCACAGAAGACCACAGGGCCTTGCTGTGGTAAGGCTGAATGGATGAGAAAGCTGGACTCTTTTAATAGTTGCTCCCGATTAAAGCCAACTTTATATATATATATTTCAAAGGGGAACCCTACTTTTTTACATGTGCCCCCTTTTGCCCACTCTTGTTCCATCCCCTGTCCCACCATAGCTCACTCACATGGGCTCACCACTCTGTTTTTCTTTGTAAACTAAAATAGGTGGTTGTCTAGAGGGTCTTAACCATAGGTTCACCTGGGAACAAGACACCTTTCCCATCTTTCTCTGAGTATAGTATCCCATGGCGCATATCCTCATGCATTTCTGTGCATGACCCTCCAATCCAGTGGGCATTTATGATTGCCCGCACCCAGGCAGATTGACAGGTGGCTGAGTTCCTCACACAAGGACATAATTTATTTGGAGAGAAATTAATGTGGTCATGTCCAGGATTCTTTGCTGACACTGTGTACAGTCCTGTCAAGATCTCTTGGTGTTTGGTGACTTATCTCCAAACCTCAAACTAATGACAACAGAGCTGAGACTCAAGAGCACTCCTGGGCTTCCATTACTTCAGAGATGAAATAAGAAGCTATGGCTCATGATCCACAAGAAGGCCAAGGAGACTCCAGAAAGCAAAATAATAAGCTCCCAAACCTGTGGAGGTAGCCTAGTACCCAGACTGAGCAAGTGACCCCTGGGGTCAGACGGTCAAGCTTGAAGCCCGACTCTACTCTCAGCTTTCTCCTCTGTGTAGTGGGCTGAATAAGAGCAGCCCTTCAATGGGTTTGTTGGAAAGATTATATGAGGCACCCACAGCACGCATTTACCATACACCAAACTCACAATTAACACCGAGTTCTTAGATACTCCTTCAGTGATCCTTTCTTAGAGTTTATTTTATAAATAAATTTTGAGAACATTTGTTTTTCCCTAATAAAATGAGTTTTCTGGAGACTGTGCCTGGAGCAGATTAGTATCAGCAAACTAGAAACTGAAAGGCAGTCGGTTCTTGGAGAATAGAAAAAAAAATGACTACTCAGAAAAAGTCAGAAAAGTACAGAAACAGCTCAGCCCTCGAGAACCCCCCCTGCATGGGGTGTATGACTATGACGACAGTGCTCAGGACTCGGTACCCAGCAGGAGGACAATGAATTAGGGGCCATTCGTTCAAGTTCATCCCATGCCTGCGATTCAAAAGGCAACAGTGAAAGACTGTGGCTATGCTGCAGGGAGTCCAACCCTGGCTTCATTATTTATTACTTAACTCTCGACAAAGCTACTGATTCTTGCTGTACCTTGTTTTCTTATCTGTAAAATAGGGTTAAAAACAAACAAACAACAAACAAACCATAAGCCTATTCTCTGTCTGTGGTCAAGATCAAAAGTTACAGGGATGTCCATCCTCTTCACACCCCTGCCCTCTGTGGACTGTTCAAACAGAGACATACAAAGGGTGCTTCAGAAAGCGCTGGCAACCCAGGATATCAATAAACGGACATAAAAATTTATACCACATAAGTAACATAGCTCTGGTTTGGGCTCTTTGAAGGATGGCCTGTGTGTTCATGGGTCTGGCTCTTGGGCGAAACTCTTGGCCAAATGTTATGTTTCTGTTTGTGACTGTTGTTGGTTCTTACTGTCGCTGTGTAGACCCGTGTCCCTGGTGACTGCCATCAGGGTGGCTGAGGATGTGAGGGCCTGCTCACCCCCAGAGGGCACTGTGAAGTCATGGAGGAAGTTCAGGGTTGCTCCGTGCCTGGGGGATGACTTTGACTTGTTACTTCCCCTCTGTGAGTTTCCATTTCCTCACCCCTCCCGGTGGTGTTCTAGACCCAGGGTCAGCTTGTACTTAAATAGTACAGAACTCCATGCAGTTTGGGATACGGGGTGAGGATTCATGGGCTGAAACAAGGAAGCACAACTCAGCAGGGTGTTCACCCTCCTTGCAGTGTCTGGTCCAAAGAGCTGTTCCAGTTACCTCTGGGGTGGGGGGTCCCTTCCAAGGATGCGCAACTAAGTGAGGACGCATGAGAAATTCTTTAGTAATTAATAAATGAAACTCTGTTCTGGACGGAACAATAACGAGCTAGCTCTTGATCACTCTGAGACTTGGTTTCTCGTCTCTGCTTCTCTGTTCTCTCTTCTCGGTTTGCATGGCTCTCAGTCTCCGATGTATGGTGTCTGGACCCCATGAGAAATAATCCTTTGATCAGTTTCCTACTCTAGACTTGATGCCCACCACGTTGGAAAGTGTCTCACACCACCTCTGCTTTGGGGCTAGATTTCAAACAGCAGCTCCATCTCTTGCACTGATGTTCCAGAGGTTGCTTTTCTCCTTGCTCACGCCACCTCTGGGCCATATGCTCAAAGCATCATCAACAGATGGGGGAGAACGTTGCTTCTTCTTGAAATTGGAAGAGTCAGTGACAGAAGTATACAGTGACTTAAAATCCTGCTTTATGGCAGCTCTTTGGACAATGCTTGGGGCTTGAGTTGACTCCAGGTCAGGATTGGCTTGATGGTGAGATGGACTGTAAAGAGAGCAGATGGTCTTTTATTTTGAAAAACAAAGATCTAATTATAAAACCAACATACGCTCATGGCACACGAAATTGGGAAAGAACAGAAAGCAGGGAAAAATCAGGCATGTTCTCACAATCTCTAAGCAATCCCTTTTACTGATGTGTTTCAATTCCTGCCTTTTCTCACGCACGCCTTTCGATGGTTCTCACACGTGTACCACTCTATGTGCTGAGGCTTTTTGTTTTATTTTTATTTTTGCTCCAGATGACAATACAGGCCTCTTTATTAATGTCATAGTTCTTTACTTTCTATTTTTCTTGAGGTCTCACAATCGACAGCCTAGGGCGCTGGTTTGGGTGGTGCAGCTTGGTGAGTTTGAATTTGCACACACTCCTGGCACCACCACCTTGAGGACTAGACTTCCCTACCACCCAGCAAGGTGCCCTTGGCCTTGCCTGGAAGTAAGTCTCTCTGTGGCTTCATACAGATGAAATCCACCTATTGTTTACCTCCGACTCGACAGGATCCCAGATCCGTCCTCTCCCG